ATATATAAAATTTGTATATAAATAAATATATATAGAGAGAGAGAGAGATTTATCTAAAAAAATTAATATCTGCTTATAATAAATCAATATCATAATATAATGATTTTTATATCCATTAATTAAAAATTAAAATTAGTTGTAAATCAATATTATTGTATTTAGTAATTACTAAAAAAATTATAATATAAACAAACCGAGCGTGTAGCACGGTTTTAAAACCTAATAGAAAATTAAATCAATGGACATCTTAATTAAGTTTAGTGAAGTACATCCAACGACCTATGTAATTAATATCCGTCACGCTCCCTTGGGATCAGTATTTCATGAGGGACGTCCATGTTAGACGCGGTTGATCAGCAAGTCCGCTTAAGTGCTTAACCTCAGCCTAGCGATCGAAACAAATATATTATGAAAGATTTTGCAGTCTTTAGCTATGTGGTGTTTTGGGTGAGTATTTGAAAGCAAAACCTTAATTATGCTTCGATATTAAAATTGGAATGTTAGTTTACTATTGCTTTGCAATGATAGCAAAGTATGGTAATGGAATTTTAGTGTCTTTCCTCAACAAGGGAAAAGAAGCGTGTCTCGGAAGCCCCTGAACTGACTCCAGAATCGCTATTAAGCCCCCAGACTTTAATTGAAGCATTTAAGCCCCTGAACTCTGCAATAGAAGCAATTTAGCCCTTACTCTCACAGCCAACTTAACTGCTGCTAATTGCCGTTAACTGTTATTTGGAGGACTACCTCGTGTGGCGCATCTCACTCCTACGTGGCAAGGGACTTGACATTTGATTTGTCCATTTGGATGAAAAAAAAAAGGAAAATTATTTAGGAATAAATTTTTTATATTGTTTTTTTATCAATTTTATATGTCATTTAAATAATTAATTTTTTTTATTTATAAATGTGTCAAATTTATGTTTTAAAGGTACAAATTAAGAATACAATAAATACATTTTTTTATAATAAATTTGTATTAAAAAATAAAAACTAACCTTTAATTTTTCAATTATTCAATTAAATTTATTCATTTAACACTAAAACTAAAATTAATATCAATTTTTATTTTTTTATATATGTTTATGATAAAAAAATA